TTTAAATGACTAATTAATTTTTATGTATGCATTTTTTGAAATGACAGCATGTCTATCATAATTAAGAAGTACTTCATAAATGAGATATAAAGAAAATACCTGATTATATAGTTAATGATTGATTAGATAAATAAATAATTATCCCTTACAATAAAATTATATGAATTATTAATAATAATAATCAGAATTTAATAAATTAAAAGAAATACTATACTTGTGGTTTTATGTGGAAAAAACAAACAAACAAACTTTTTGGATTACATTTGCATTCCCATGAAGAATTTTGTTGAGTGTTGATGGAGGATTTTCTTTTTCAAAAAAAGTACAATTAGTAGTTAGGGCAGAGTTGATTGTGACCCTAAATTATTGTACCTCTTTGGAGGAGGACATGCAACCCTATTGAAAGACTTTCAAAGCCCCTAACTTTCACAGGTGTGGAGATATTTTAAAAAAATAAGAGGAAAAAGAAAGAGAAATTTAGAAAAATAACTTTCAAAACGATATGAATTTGCAATAAGTAGTGTTGATGCACGATTCTGGCTACCTTGATACAGAAGATCCAACAAAAAGATTCTGACGTGGATTTTGTTGAATACTTATAAATATAGAACCTTGTATCATTGTGATGCCTAACCTACACTCCAAGACTTAAGTTAGTTACTCAGTCCGAGCTGGTGTGAGTGTAAGAGATAACATAGGTTTGGGAAAAAATGGGACTCTGCCTTTTATAGGGAAAGCATTAAGAAGTCTGACTCAGCAACTTCAACATTCATATATGTTATTCGACATATCTTTTGCTAACAAGTAGAAGATCTTCTGCTGATAGAGTTGATGTTCTGTTACTATAGATTTTCTATCAGTTGGGACTTTTGTCCCACGTCGGAGTCGAGTTGAGCTCTATTTTTGGACACGATGACCATTCTTCCTCGTTCTCAACAGAGTCCAGACATGCCTACCTCAAGGATGGAGGGCCACACATTTCTACTTGATTTGAGGCCCTTACCAAGTGGTAAAGTTTATATCATTGCAACATGCCAATGCTATGAAAGCTGGAACTTCATTTTTTTTTTCTGACAAGACTTCAAATTTTAAGTTAATAATAGTATGTTTTAGTTCTTTTTAATAACGTGTTCCTAATCTTTCTACTGATTTGATTTATTCTCTTATATTATTCTTGTTTATATATCTATGATAAAGGTAAAAGGTAAGGTTTTGAATTATATTTTAGTTTCTAAACTTTAGAAAATATTCATCTTTTCAGAATATTATATTACAAATATAAGAGTAGAAATTCAAATCTACAACTCTATAGAAGAGATAGAGATGCCTTAAGTTCAACGGCTAAATTATGCTTGAGTTGGTCAAAATATCTATTTTAACAAAAAATTTAAAAAATGACTATTTTAATTTATTAACCTTTAAAATATTCTACTTTAGTTCTATTACGTTAAAAAATATCAACTTTTTTTTTATTTAAAGAGATAACTATTTTGATCATTCATGTTATTATTTTGTCACCTAATATTTGTCTCATCTTGATACATTTTCAATCTCAAAAGAAGTTAATGGGTGCTTTATCTACTGAGCTATATACTTAGATGAGTTTCCCATCAAAATACCTAGTTTAGTCAACTTATGTGGCTTCAATACGACGCATGTCCACATCAACACGTTAATAACACATATTTGAAATAACAGTATTCATTTATCAAATAAGTAACATAAAATTACTTTCATAGTTTAAAGGTTTATAGACATTTCAAAAATTGAATGACCAAAATGAAATTATAGTTCAAGAACTAGAAGGTTATAAGAGGAAAATCAAATTTGGACAAGAACTAAAGGAAAAAAAAAGTTAATTAAAATATCCTGTGTGTATCTGATTTCCTTTATTGAAATTTCATTTATTTATTTTTTTGTTGTTAAGTGACACTAATAAGGCTACTTTTTTAAGTTCAAGACTAAAATATAAATTTATCTAGGGGCCATAATAAACAATGAGATTTAAAAAAAAAATTAATTACCAAACAAAATTTAATCACCATCCCAACATTTTTGAAATTTCTATTATAACATTAATTTATTAATATAAAGCTCTATTAGTGTCACTTCAATTAACAAAGAGTAAAATATATATATATATATATATATATCAAGGTATAACTAACTCAACTAATTAATGCATATATCTTCGACCAAAACATCATATATTTTAATACTTACTTCTACCGGCCACGTGTTGTTGAACTAAAAAGAAACATTAACAAAAACAAATAATAGAAATAGAAATTCAACGTGACAAAGTAGTGGCAAATCTAATTTCAAATGCAATAAATTTTATAGCGTGACATTTTATTTCATTTATTGTGTGGGAGTATAGCAATTCTTATTGGTCAGAACAATTATAAATTTTGATCAAATTTTAATTTAAAGCATTATTTTGCTTGGAAAATACTAAAAAGGAAGGTTAAGCACATAAATCATATATTTTAAAATGTAACCAATATTACATATGTTGGATTTTTTTTTCTACTCGTTAATTCTTATTACTACTTATTTTTGTTAAGTTTTACTCAATATTAAATTAAAATTTTATAGCTTTGGAAAATTAAGCTTTCAAACTAAAATTAAAATACAGAGAAAAAAAAAACATGATTTAGTGGTTTCTTACACCAATCTCAACAAATTGATCGATTCGTTAAAAATTTCAAAATTTTATAGGTTAAAAAACTGTAACTTGATATTTTTTTATAGACATAATAATGCATTGAAAAATACCCATTATGAACTCTTTTGGATTACAAAAGATGGTTACTTTTAATTTTTAAAAGAACACTTTATTGTAAATTATATGAATGTTCCAAATGTCATAAAGTGTTAATATTTATTAATAATTTCATTCTTCGGTTGAAATATTCAAAAGTAGAAAAACTTTCTTTCAAAACATTGCCGACCTAATTAAAAGTTGCAAAGACTTAGTGGGTCTCATCAAAGAAAGGAGAATTTCTTGTAATAATAATAATAAAGTAAACTATTACAAATTTGTAATATGTTGTAATAGTCTTTTTTTTAATTAAGAATATATTAGTGTTTGTTTATGTTTATTAAGTTGTGGTATTTTATGATATTAAAGGGGTGACCAAGTATTTCAAATACTTGCTCGTGTGATGATGTGTAATGAGGAGATCTTTTCGTTATGAAATTTATCGTGTAATTTTATACCACAATTTAAAAGTTTAAGAATTAAATTGAAATTTTTAAAACTGATTGTATAGTAGAATATTGACCTATTTAAAATAAAGTCCATACTGTGAGAATATAATTGAAAATTTTAAAATTAGTTCACACGATATTGTTGGATAAATTTAATTCGTGAACTAATATAAATTTTTATTTACTTTTAGTACCATCTTTAGTTTTTTATCTCTTGTGTTTGGAAAGTCTTTTGAATTATGTTACCTCTAGACCTTCTGAAAACATTCTCTTTCCTGTAAATAAGAGGCAACATTGTAGAGTATGGGAGCTTGAATGATTTTGGATTCAACCCTTGTATTCAAATTTTATTTCGGTTATAGGCCCAATTCTTAAAAGGAGTCTGAGTTTGAATGACTTAGAACTCAACTTTTAGAATTAAGCTACCTTTGGGTTGGGTCACAGAACCAATATCTTTAGTGGATTCAAATTTAGACATAAGTCAATTATTAATCCATGATTCTTAGGCTTACTTGTGCTTGAAGCTAAATTATGATTTAATGAGTTATAGGTTTGTTTGATTTGAGCTTGGTTATCATATGACCTAATTTGATCCGTTTATTAATCATTTTAGTACAACATAAAAGGAAAAAACAAAAACCAGACTAACTTATAGCGATTCATAAATTTAATCAAAACTTTATTTAAAAAAACCTATAGAAGTGGAAAAATAATATTTATGCCATTTTTTATTCAGAAAATTGTTCCTAAAACGTACCCCGTAAATAAAGTTTCCACCTAAAATAGACTATTTTTATTTCTAAATATAGAAATATGTTCTTAAATCTCATTTCCAAACAAATCCTAAATATTTGTTTTTCAAAAAATATAGATAGGATCAGAGAGACAGAATATTCCGCTTATATCCTTTTTCATCCCATCTATTGGCACGAAATTTGGACAAAATGAAGGGGTGTTTTAGGATTAGAAAATGGGTGTTGGGAATAATCACAAGGCCAAATATTATTCCATGGCCACATAAGTTGAGCCACAAAACTAGCCATTCCAAATAATAAACAACCTACACTTTGTCTTTTTAACACATCACTTTGATTCCCTGCTACTAATCTCATTTATAAACAAACACACCAAATTTATTATATATCATTAGAGTTTAAAACCATTTTAAAAACATTACATTAAGGATACAAATGTAATCTCACGAGAACGAGGGATTGTTAGGAGATGTAACAAAAAAATCTCACATTAAAACGAGTATAGCTCAACGGTAATTGACATATATCTCTAACCAAAATATTGTGAGTTCAATCCTCAACGCCACATATTGTACTAAAAAAACAACATTGAAGTAAGGACAATATTTCATTGGTGTGAAACGTTTTTTAATAAAATCAAAAGCATATAGTAATGCAGGTTAAGGTTTGAAGGAAAAAATATCGTACTATGATATAAATATGAAGAATCTCATTTGTCTCTATAGGCAGCTTCGCTTTGACAGTTAGCCCTATGTTTATAGGGAGTTTGGTCCTCATAAAGTAATATATTAGAGTGAAAATTTTCAACTTAAAATTAATTCCCAACCAATATTGTAACAAAATAGTACAAATATATAAATTAGAGGGGAAGATTTGAACTTAGAGGTTGATTATGAAGCAATCAAAGTAGTTCAAACTAACAAGAAGAGGAACCAAGTTTTGGCATTTCCAAGCGTGTCGGCGGACCGAGGCCACGAGACCGCGTCTACCCGACCCATTCCTGCCAAAACCAGCTTCCCCGCGAGAACATTTTCAACTGCTCGATATTAAAAATGTCAAGCCGTCGTTTTTTACCAGCTCCAGAGCTGGGACAATCGCAACCCAGTGAAAAATCAAAGACCCTTTTCTTTCAGTCAACGAGACGCCCTCTCCGAAACAAGAACTGGTTTAATCTCTTCCGGAATCCTATCTTTTCCATCTGGGTCTTCAATTTTTGGTCGATTTGAGTTGAGGGGTTTGCTTCGCGGCCAGATGAACCCTCCAATTGGGTTTTTGCTGTTGGTGTTGATCTCCGTGCTACTCGGAGCTGATTCAAGATGCCCTAGAACTTGCGATGTAGCTTTAGGTTCGTATTTCGTGTGGCCGGATAGCAATTTGACATTCATCGGCGAAATGTTTGAGCTGCGTTCCCCTGATATCATCGTCAGCTACAACAGAGATCAAATACCCAACAGAGATTTTATTACAAGCGGAACCAGGGTCAACGTTCCATTCTCCTGCGATTGTATAAACGATTCATTTTTGGGTCATACGTTTCAGTACGTGATTAAAAGTGGAAATACTTACACCGAAATTGCGGACAAATTCTATTCGGGCATTACAACGGTGGAGATGTTGCAGAGATTCAATAGTTTTGATGCCACGAGTCTTCCCATAAATGGGAGATTGAACGTCACTGTGAAATGCTACTGTGGGGATCCTGATGTTTCCACGCTATATGGGTTGTTCGTCACTTACCCACTTCGCTCCGATGATACTTGGGGTAAGCTTCAAAGTGCTACCAATGTCAGCTCAACTTTGCTGCAGCGGTACAATGAGAATGTGAATTTCACCACAGGAAATTTGATCTTTATTCCAGGCAGAGGTGAGTTTTTGTTGTGATTTGATTTGATCTTAATGGTGCAAGATCTTTTGCTATGTTGAACTATGTAGTGTTAGAGACCATGTTTGATAACTTGTTATGACAGTATTTTTTTGTTTGCAGATCAAAGTAGCAACTACCCACCTCTGAATATAAGGTAGTTTCACTGTTTTCGTGTTTCTTTTTAGTTAATTCGAGCGTGATATGCGAAACTTTTCTGGTCTCTCAACAACTTCTTTTTTATATTTTCTTCTCTGCAGCACAGATGCAGGTGCTGTGGCTTTCTCAGTTGGGCTTATGATGATTATCTTTAGCTTGAGGGAAAGAAGCATGTTTGAGTTATTAGAATTGGAAATTGAGACTCCTTTAAGCTTATCGTGCTCTTTTTGCATATGACCAGGACTTTCAGGTGGAGCCATTGCAGGCATAATTATAGGAGCAGTACTCGGGGTTCTAATTGTAGCAGGCTGTATTTACTTTTTCATACGAAGGAGGAAGTCGAAAGGTGCCAAATTGCTGGCATTCTCCCAAGATTTATCTTCTCAAGATGGGCGTGGTACCATTTTAACTCTCAAATGTTGTTTTCATCCGCGTGCTGAATTTTGACCTTCTCCTTGTATAAATTCATAAAAGGATACAACTGATGATTTATAACTATGGTTCTATTAAACCGTCATTCTATTAGGTCTTGTCCCTGGAAGTTCCTTGTATAAATCTACTGAACCACATGCTCAAGGTGGCGGTGGTCTAGCTGCCGTTACGGGCATTACTGTTGATAAATCAGTGGATTTCTCATATGATGAACTTGCCAAGGCCACCGACAACTTTAGCTTGGCAAACAAAATCGGTGAAGGTGGTTTCGGATCGGTTTACTTTGCCGAGCTTAGAGGAGAGGTTCGTTACTTGATCCCAATACATCCTAAATAAGTTGTGGCTCATGAATTTAAGTTTCCCTTCAAATCTTGCTATGGAGGTGCCAGTAGTTTTATAGTTGGTTCTGTAGCTTAAAGATAGATTAATCCGATAAGTAAAGCTGGAAGATGGAAGCCTTCCCGTAGTCTTTGACTTCTTCAATGCTCTATCTTTGAGTTATATAACTATAACTAATACGTCTATTTCGCACTGTTTGATGCATGTGCTGGTTTTATTCATAGATAAATATATAAGGACAATCATTTATTGGACATCTTACCTCTAAGTGCAATCATTTATTGGACATCTTATTACCTCTCTTTCAAATAGTTCTTTCCTAACCCACCTGACTTCCACCCCTGTATCAATTTTTGCTCAGAAAGCAGCAATAAAGAAGATGGACATGCAAGCTTCAAGGGAGTTCCTTGCAGAAATTAAGGTTCTAACACGCGTTCACCACTTGAACCTGGTACGATAATGATAAGACCTTAACATTTAACGATAACAAGTAAATACTTCTTTACTTTTAGACTTAAATTCTGTCATAATAAATACGAAACAAAATTTTTTGAAATGCATCTCGTATACTCGAACCTTGTAGACGCAGAGGATTTTTTGGCCAGTGTTGGTTATATAATGAATTCACCCATTGAAGGTTGTTCTAGATAGGGCACGATTAGCATCAAACAAAAACTTGTAGTCCAAATTGCGTTGTACTAGAGGTAGTCAAAGAAGCAACTGTTTAGTGTAGACAAAAGATTTTGAAGTTGAGTTCAAGTTGGAATCACCTAGGATGTTAAATTCTGTGGAATCAATCGAGATGTGTGTATACTAAACCATACACCTGATGTTTTTTTACAACGACATTTATACTGGAAAAAAAGACTATTGAGAAGGTAAACTTAGACTCATAAAACAGCGATGCCCTTTCTACTTCCACAAAACGATCCACCTTTTATGCTTGCTCCCTTCTCTCCCGTTTTACTCGTTTACACGTGATCATTTTTAATCTCATGCTTTGTAAATTGACCGATTATGATCAAATGCAGGTGCGCTTGATAGGATATTGTGTTGAAAATTCTCTATTCCTAGTCTACGAGTTCATTGAAAATGGCAACTTAAGCCAACATTTACGTGGCACAGGTGAGATAATGTGAAAATGGAGAGGATACTTTCACTTTTCTTGTGTTGCCTTCGGAGAATTTGATATATTTGGTCATGTTTTCAGATCGGAATCCATTGCCATGGCCTAGTAGGGTCCAAATAGCCCTCGATTCAGCCCGAGGCCTTGAGTATATCCATGAGCACACAGTTCCTGTTTATATTCATCGTGATATTAAATCCGCAAACATATTGATTGACAAGAACTTTCATGGAAAGGTAGCAGACTTTGGATTAACAAAGTTGACTGAAGTTGGAAATTCGTCGCTTCCTACTCGTCTCGTGGGCACATTTGGATATATGCCACCTGAGTAAGATGACCTTTCTATGCCTCAGTTTTTTGTTTGAGTGTATTCTATTCAGTGATTATTGGCTGGAGTTTAGAGTTTTATTCTAGGTGTTTTGAGGTGTTTATTACTCGGTAGTTATGTTCAGAAGGAAAGGAGAACAGTTTTTGAAGCTTAATAAATTTTCTTAATGTTTAGTATCAGCTGGTTCAATCGACTCCTATATACTTAGATTCTGGCTAGTTTTGTTTCTTAGAATGCTTTGATTTATTTATTCTTTACTTCCAGATATGCTCAATATGGTGATGTTTCTCCGAAGATCGATGTTTATGCTTTCGGCGTTGTTCTTTATGAGCTTATTTCAGCCAAGGAAGCTGTGGTGAAGACAAACAGAGCCAGCTCAGTTAATGAATCGAAAGGCCTCGTCGCTTTGGTTGGTACTCTCACCATTACTTTGTTCTCAATTTATTTTGTTTCTTTCCTTTTGCCCCGGTTCTCGGTCTAATAACTTAACAATGTCTATACATCAAACTTACCCTCTTTGTACCTCCAAAAAAGGATGACTTTAAGAAACCATCCCTGAGCATTACTTATAAGAATCCTGCATTTTGCAGTTTGAAGATGTCCTGAATCAACCTGATGCGAAAGAGAACCTTCACAAACTAGTCGACCCGAGACTCGAAGACAACTACCCTCTCGAATCGGTTTTCAAGGTGAGTGTAACTTTCCTTTTTTCCATTGGTTCTGGTAAATTGAGAGCTGGTGTGTGATTTTGAGCTTGTGGGGGTGTTTTTGGTTGCAGATGGCTCAGCTAGCCAAGGCATGTACACATGAGAATCCACAGCTACGCCCAAGCATGAGATCCATTGTGGTTGCTCTCATGACACTTTCTTCTGCAACAGAGGATTGGGACGTCGGCTCGTTCTATGAAAACCAAGCTCTCGTAAACTTGATGTCAGGAAGGTAGAATCAAGCACCACGATCGCTCTCCCGTTCGATAAAAGGGACAGCTCTCTTATTTGATGTGTATAATACCAAAAATTTCTCCCTTCTTTTAAGTATTTGTAAATGTTCGTAGTTGAGAATTACAAAGAAAGTTCATGTAAAATTATTTATTTAGTTTCTTAAATACTTTAATTGAGAGTCGATTCGACATTGATTTTGATAGAAAAATTGAAAAGAGTACACTTTTAGTTAGGTTTTGTTAAATTTATAAAATAGAAAAGGAAATAAATAAATTAGACCATCTAAAAAAGCATCAATGGACATGGTTTTGATGTTTATGTAAAATAAGTTATACTAATTTTACTCAAATAAAAATAAATTGTACTAAATGAAATTTTAGATTAAAATAAAAAATTCAACTTACATTTAAAATAGAAACTGACATTTTAACTTTCAAAATTATAGCGGCAAAGTTGATGCAAACATAGAAATATATTAAAGTAAAATTGTTTTGAATGTATGTTTTCTTTTGAGAATATAACATTCTCAAATACAACCATTGACCCTTGGCAGGTGATGATGTAGTGTGCTTGTAGTCGAATAGAGATATCCCTCCTTACTTCAAGTCCTCGGGGCGTGTAGTCGGGGTTTTCCGACCCTCCCATTTCTCCATTCGTGGACGATTCTCGTAACGTCGACGATTTCGAGTTAAAAAAAATCTCAAATATGTAAGTATTTTGAAAGATTAAATAAAAATAGATAAATAATAGATATATGATGACATTTCTCAACAATGTATTTATTCTCACATGAATCTCAACTTTACATCAATATTAATCTCTCACCATTGACAAAGTCTTATCAATAAGAGTTTTCCTCTTTTTAATGTCAAAAAAAAAAAAAGAAAAAAGAAGAAGAAGAAAAGAAAAGAAAAGTCCTATCTATTTTTTAACTTTTACTAATAAATATCAATATCATTTAAAAAAAGAAAAGATAGACCAATATCACGAAAATTATTTCAATGCATTCACATACTTTAATGTAATTGGATCAAACCATAGCAATTATTTCAATTACAATTTTAACTTTAATGCTTTTAAAATTATAGAATTTTCTATTTGATTACAATTAATGGTATATAGTTTGACATTTAAATATTTAAAATGATAATGATATTATGAAAGTCGGTCGAAATTTTGAAGTTTTTATTTCTGGAAAGTTAAAATATCAAGTTTATAATTGTAACTCGATTAAAATAATGATTTGATGACGTAAAATGTTCAAGATAAATCTATACAAAAAAAAAAATTCCTTTTTGATAAAGGTAAATCTCGATTTATAAATTACAGTAATAGTTGCAAGTAAATATCGTATTCTATATTTTAAAGAGCAAATTTGGAAAATTTTTATATGAAGTCATAACAGCGTGATCACCAAGGAAGAAAAGAAAAATAATAATAATAAATCTTCCCAACCGTCCCTTCCCACGACTTTTTAAGGCCAACGAAAGAATTGAATTAAAATTTTCTCTTCTCTTCTGGCTTCACCAAATTTCTTTTCCGCCATGGAAGAACACGGAGTCGAGCTCTTTGAACAACTCCGCCTGCAGGCACAAGGCGCAGTGGTCAATGACGACGTGCGGCGGAATCCGCCGGAGAGTAGTGAGTCGCCGCCGAGTCTGGAGGAAGTGGAGGCGATTCTCGGCTACGAGTTCCGGGATAAGCGGTTGCTCGAAGAGGCTTTCACGGATTCCTCGTATTCGCCGGAAAATTGCTTCTCCTTCGAGCGATTGGAGTACGTCGGCGACTCGGTGTTGAATTTCTTGATCACGAGAGAGCAGTACTTCTCGAATCCGAGTTTATCGCCCGGGTCGCTGACTCGACTCAGAGCTGCGAATGTTGACACGGAAAAACTCGCTCGAGTTGCGATAACGCACGGATTCCATCGGTATCTTCGCCACAACAAATCCGATCTCGACAAGAAAGTAAGTGATTTCATTCTTGTTTATGAATTATGATCCACTCTCATTAACTTCGAATTTAACTCCTCCTCCTCGGGACTCTGCGCAAATTCTAGGTTTTATTCATCTGTTTATTTAACCCCAATTTGATTGATAATCATTTTTTTTTTAGCTTTCAGATTTTTAAATTTTAGCTTAGTTTTTTCCTGGACGTTTTATATAAATATGGTAGGAAAATTATACTAAATGGCATAATAAATATATATTTATAAAAGTTCCATTTTTTTTTAAATCATAAAAGTGAGTTTAGTTAATCCCAATGTTCTTTACATTTTATAAATATTTCAAAAATATCTTTTGAATAAATACATGTTCATATTTTGATATTAATGAAAAATTAGGCGTGTCAAAATATGAAACGGGATAAGTCAACATTAGGTACACAATCTCATTACTATCGCTTCAGATTTTTCCATGACAACTATTGAAAAAGTTATTTTTGAAACTTTTATCTAATATTAGAATTTTAGGATTGGGGTATTTTTCAAACAAATGGTAAAAGTAATTAGTTTTTTTTTTGTAATTTAGCCTATTTTATTTATACTTTTCAAGTTTTTTAAAAATGAAATTTGGTAGGAATACCTCATTTTCCTAAGATAATTATTTGAAAATTTTGTTTGACAATTTTTTTTAATAAATTCACATATCTCTAAAACTGAATAAATATGATTTATGCTACAATATGTTTTAAACAAAGATTCTTTGATATTTTTTGGTCCAAAATTGGTTATTGAAAACAAAGATTTTAGTAGGAAAAAGAAGATTTTTTTTCCCTTTTTGGAAAACATAATTGGTTGTAAATGGAAAACTTTAAGTTTATTTATTTTCTAAGAAAATAAATAAGGTGTTTAATAGAAAGAATACGTTTCTAAAGGAAAATAAATGTAATATAATTATTTTTAGTTATTGTAAATAGTAAATTGATTGTTTCTCTTGTTTTTTTTTTAGTATAATAGTAAATTGATTGCTAACAATATTTAAGAGTTACTTGTGAAAATAGGCGTGTCAGTTGTCACTGTTTTCACAATATTTTATGTTTTTAAAACATTAAATTTAAAAAAAAAATCAAGACCTTATTAAAGTAGTGGTAAAACCATATATTCAAATAATTATGTCCTTTAAAGTTAGTTAATATTTGTTTAACACTTTACGCACGAAAGTAAATTAAATAGGCAGGATGAAATATCGAAGCCTAGTGAAAATTGAATATGGTTAATCCACTTTAACCTTTTTTTATTTATTTTTTGGTTGAAATCCTTAAAAGGTTTGGACTTCCACTTTGATTCTTTTGAATGATATGATAAAGGAATTAAAGTTTATTTTTGTGGATCAGATTGCAATTTCAATTGTCAAGTTTGTAAGTCAACGTTCTCCTTACTATAAAAAGAAAATAATTTTTTTAAATAACATAAAAGGCTAATGACAACATCAATGACGTGTGATTGTTTTGAGTATATATTTTATATTTATTAAAATAATATATACATATATATTTCTAAGTTGTGTATTTTTATTTCTTCATTTGTCTCGTTGCTCATTATCTATCACTATCTAGTTATTGAGTAGAAGTTTGATGAATAATTTGGTACAGATTGGTCTGTATCATCACAATTAATGTTTGACAAAACAAGAGAAATAAAACACTATGGCAGAGATATTAGGTATCTTTAATTCATCAGCTTAGCTTATATCGTTGAGTTGATCAGTAATAATTTAACGTATCAAAACAATAAGTCATATGTTTAAACTCCTATAATGTTATTTCCTCGCGGCATTTAACATTGATTACTCGTTGGACTTTGAAAAAATTGATAGATAGAAGAGTTTGCAGAAGGGATGAAGGAGTATCCACTACATTCCAATGGACTAATCAAAGCTCCAAAAATTCTAGCGGACATTGTGGAATCAACTATTGGAGCTGTTTTCACCGACAGTAACTCTATGGACACAGTTTGGACGGTAAATATATCAATGAGAACAAAACTTGTATTATATTCTTATTGAATCATCATTATCAGTTTTGGTAACGAATGATTTAAACTGTAATGTAGATATTTAGAGGTCTAATGGAGCCATTGATAACTTTGAAGACTATAAAAAGACATCCAATGACGGAGTTAACAGAAATTTGCCAAAAAAGAAATCTGAAGCTTGAATTTGTGGACTCATGGGAGAAAACAAAGGAGGTTCAAGTTTTCATAGACAAACAGCTCGTGGGAAAAGGGAGTTACAGGAAAAAGCTTATTGCCCAAAATCGAGCTGCCAAAGATGCTTTGAACAACTTGGACACACTTCTTGTACAAATTAATCAACCTTGTCAACCTATGTAATCCATATCTTTAAATGTTTATTTTATTTATTTATAATTAGGTTCTAATAAGTTCTTTCTTTTTTACTTGTTTGATTGGCGAGATTTTTCCAAGTTTCTCTTTTTCCCTGTTTATAGCTTTGTCATAGCACAGCCATTTCTAAATACCATGTAAAAAGAGTCTATACATTCTCTGGAAACAAGAATTTTAGAACACTATATTTAATGAAAAATAATGGAGTTTTTTTTTGGTCACTTTTAAACTATATTTGGTAGTCTAGTTTTGTTTGAGTTAAAATAAATACTATTATACAGTTACTATATTTGATTATTTTATGTCATTTACACTATTTTATGTTGTGATTTATAATATAGTAATTTTTAATTTAACAAGAAATGACTCTTTGGTGAAGAAAAGAACCTACTCTTCGTTGGGAAATGGGATGTATTTTTTCATCACAGTGCATCTAAGGGTAGAGACAAGAATTTTGTTTTAAGAGGCATGAACTTCTTATATGTATGATCATTTGATTCTAAAAAGTTTGGAGCAAATATTAGAGAAGAAAATTACAACATCTTAATACCTTTTGAATTGTGATCAACTAAGTCTCCCCCGTTCCTTCCAACCTTTCATGTTAATGAAGTATCCAGATTTTACATTTGACAAGTGTTGAAAATATCTTAAATTTATTTTCAAATTGTCCTAATTATAAATCTCGATAGAAAAGGTTGAGGAGTGTCAGATGCGTTTGCAATTCCCGTCCTAGAATTTTTATAATCAAACTACTTTCAAATTAAACTCATGTGATGGGACCAAGATAATCCATTGAAGTAGCATCAACGACAATGGTACAAGTTCCTTCAATGGCAGGAAATGAAGGATTTGAAGCGGTGGTTGCTACAAGAATGGAATTCCAAAACATTCCCTTATAAAAGAATTTGAATTAATTGTGCGGAAAAAAAAGACCTATTGAACCGATCACATGATACCTGTTAGAGTACCTATCAACAGTTCCATATCCTCTTACAAATATTTCAGATGCAGAGACAAATCCAAAGCCCCTTTCTCATAATATAATCTCGCAAAGTTTGGCTTCTTTTTTTTTTTCATCTTTAGGAGAAGTTTTTCGATCTTCAGGTATGCATTTAATTTAGGAGAAGTACGTCATAGAGAATTTGGGCCGGACATGCATCTAGTTCGGTCAACAATAAGGTACAAAACAAATTTCAATTAGATTTCATTTTCAACAGTGTGCCATCGAACATTTATTCTCAAAATATATTTAAACCACATTAATTAGTTTTGACGAGAGTACTTACTCTCTGTGTCCATATTTCACTCTATAATTTTATCTTTATAAATTATTTCTAATACTGATACATATTATTTTAAAATGATTGGTGTTCATATTTCACCCTATAGTTTTATCCTTATAAATTATTTCTAATACTGATAGATCACATATTATATTTTGAAAATGATGCTGACGTAATAATCACTGAATAAGAGTAGCGACAAAATTTCCTACTTTTGAGAGTGGATACGCTGCGTTTTGGATTTGGGCCTTGGTGTGGGAAATGGGCCGGGCCATCGAGTGGAAAGGAAAGGCCCAGAAGGTTACAGAACCAAACCCAATTGGTGCCCATCTACCGTCCATCTTTGACCGTCAAAATCCGATTTGGTAATTCTGCCGGAAGGCGGAAGCTTTCGTCTCCGTTTCCTCACCAGCAAATTCATAAATACAGTACAGCCAACTCCGCATTCTTCAATTTGTTTCGCAATTTCTGATCGGAGACAAATCTTACACCGGGAGAGATTCAGGTAAAAAGAGGAGAGGGCACAGATTTTGGAAGAGATGGATTTCGAGCTTAGAAGGGCGAGAGAGAAGCTCGAAAAGGAGCAGAAGGAGAGGAAGGAGATGGCTCGGCGGAGAGTCGAGAGAGAGCGCAAAGCTAAAGAAGAGGCGCGGAAGCAACGAGAATCCATTGAAGCGGCTCAACTTTCTAGACGACTTGATGCTGCCGAGGCCCGAATTAAGGTGCGCCTACTACTGATTTCTTTTTCAGATTGAGCTAATGGTGGAATTCACCTTAGATATGGCTATCTTAATTAAATGTTTAAGTTTATGAATGGTGATCGCATCCCAATTGATCTTTGTGTTCTTTCTTTTTGTTTCTTGGCTTGCTGAGGAAGTTATTTCATTTCTGAATCGAGACTGCGAAACTTTGTGCAACTTCTTTAATACGGTCTTAACTTTTAAGCATACTCTATAGTATATCCTTAGATAGTTAGGCATTCTTTGGGTCTTTTGAAATACACTTGCAATCACCCGATGGACGCAGTGGCTGAAAGTATTTCATGGTATTCTGAAATTTCTGGTTCCTGGATTTTTCCGGGTTGCCGTTTCGAGGAAATTGAAACATTTAGAAACACGCCTTCCTTAACGCACATAACTTAGAAAACTTTCTATGATTGGGCACTGGGAAAATGATCTCCTTAAATGTTGTGCTTTTGTTGCATCTTTTGTGCTTAACTTGCTTGGCATAAGGCATCCTGGTTAATTTTGTGAATGGGTTTTTAAAATTAAGGTGTGATGTTGACACTAATCTGCTAGGAAAGTGGGCAAGCTGACTCCCGAAGCTTTGTCATACGAGAGAGAGCTTTCTATGACTCTATGGGAAGGAAAGGATTATTTATTCAAACAGGACTTTGGAGCCTGTTTTTGGAGGCTGTATTTAGAACTTTTATGTCTTCATAAGTTGAGATGGGCTGTATTTAAACAAATATTTCTAGCTCAAGAACTAATTTTACCTAATGATCTCAGAATCGATTTTCATAGGAAAAGTAAAAATTGGAAGATAGGATGTTTGGCAGATTGTTCTGTAGAACAATTTTTAAAGATTATTTTTAAGAACTATTTATTGTTGTAAGTTGTGCAGAAGTCAAAGAGTCCCACAAAAGTAAATATTTTAGTTTGGCTTGTCTTCATGGAAATTCAAAATTTTATTGACAGAGTGCAGAAAAGATGTCCCTTTTGGACGTTTAAATATCTTGATGAAAAGATACATATTGAATGTTTTCTGAAACTTAGTGAAAATTGAAAATTCCGTAGCATCCACCTAGGTGATGAACTGGTATAGAGCTGTAGTTATGTTCACTATACGTTCTTTTTGGTTGGACTTGTACATTTTTCCATATCCTCGCTACCTGGCATCGTTAATTGGTGTACATGTTGAAAATTATGAATTTTGGAATTTGCAATTTTCCCTTCGCAAGTGGCATTGTGCCGATCATCCACTTTTTACCATGCATTTTTCCCTCTCTTTTTGACGAAGGCTTTAAACATTCCAGGCTGAGCAACTGATGGAAGAAACTTTGCTTGCTGGAAGAGGAATCACTTTTTACCGTCTCTTAGAAGCCATACCTTATCAGGGTAATGGGGACAAGATCAAGCTGCCGCCTTCTGGTTTCACAGAATTGTCCGATCAAAGTGCTTTTGATAAGGGACCTGTGTACTTCCAACTGTCAGTAGTTCATCAAGAAGGTACTTCCAACACAACCATTATGGAGGAAAAGACTCACAGAATCACCCATTCAGGTGTTTTGGAGTTCACTGCAGCTGAAGGTTTTGTTGAGCTACCTCCTCATGTTTGGCGAAATTTATTTCTGGACGACTCTTCAAAGAAGCCACTAATTGAAGTACGTTATGTGTGGCTACCCAAAGGAACCTATGCAAAGCTTCAACCAGAAGGCATAGGCTTTTTGGACTTGCCTAATCATAAAGCTATCCTTGAGACAAGCCTTCGTCAGCATGCCACTCTTTCTCAAGGTGACATACTGACTGTCGTCTACAGTGAGCTTACATATAAGTTAAATGTTCTTGAGTTGAAACCATCTTCTAGTATATCTGTTCTAGAAACGGATATTGAGGTTGATATAGTTGGTCCTGATTCACCATCTGGAACCACGGATCAGCATATTCTCAAACTGCTAACTTTTAAAAAGCAAGAGTCTGGGATGGTTGAGGAAGGGTGTTATTCATATTACAAGTTCTCCATAGACAACGATATATGGGATATAATTTCTTCCGGAAATGCTAGAGTTGAAGTAAAGCTTGAAGTGGAGACTAATGACGGAGATACAAACATTTACATTTCGAAGCATCCTCTCATATTTCCTACTCAACACCAGCATTCTTGGTCTTCCCATGATATTGGTTCAAAGGTTCTAATCCTTAGCTCTAAAGATAAGAACTTTGGGGCTGGTACTTATAGCATTGGAGTTTATGGATTTAAGGGAACTTCCAAGTACCAAATCTCAGTGAGTATTGAGGATGTCTCAAACCATAAGGTGGGTAAACACGAAGTCTCTTCATCGAAATTTTCAGATCAGGATACTGTCGAATGTCGGAATTGCAAGCATTACATACCCACTCGAACTATAGCTTTGCACGAAGCTTATTGCAGTAGACATAATATTGTCTGCCAGCATGCTGGCTGTGGCGTGGTCCTTAGAGTTGAAGAGGCCAAGAACCATGTGCATTGTGATAAATGCGGACAATCTCTTCAGAAGAGTGAGATGGAGAAACACGATAAGGTGTTCCACGAACCACTCAATTGTTCTTGCGGGGTAGTCCTAGAGAAAGAAGAGATGGTAAGCAAAAATCTCCATGATGGTAAACTGATGAATCCCTTTAGTATTCATTAATATGTGGATCTTATTACGGTCCAAATGAGTAAGCAAAGATCTCCGTGATGGTAAACTGAGATGTTTCATGTATTTTTTACAGGTTCGTCATCAAGCGTCGGTTTGCCCGCTGCGCCTGATAACATGTCAGTTCTGTGGGGACATGGTTCAAGCTGGAAATTCTGCCATTGACATCCGAGATCGAATGAGAGGACTATCTGAGCATGAAAGCATTTGTGGGTCTAGAACAGCAACATGTGATTCATGTGGACGTGCTGTGATGTTGAAGGAGATGGACATCCACCAAGTCGCTGTTCATCAAAAGAGTTAATATCTGCTGCAACAGCTGCGGGATATATTTGTGGTCATGGCTGGAAATTTGCACAGAGATGCAACTCGAACCCGTTGAATAAACTGGTGAGTTCAAACATATGAAGGTTTGCTACGGTTTTATCAAGTTCATTATTATTTTTTGTGCAACCCCAGCGAAGAATTTGAAGATTGTGATTAATATCAATGTGGCAATGACATTATGAAATTAATGTATGATAGTGCTTGGAATTTGATGTACAGTAGTGCTTGAAACTCGGTAAGATGCATTTTGAATTATCAAAGCAGTAATTCATTAAATTTGAAGTGCCCCGCCCCATTTATACTTAATCAGCTGAGACATCATTCTTAATCTCTTACCTATGATTTTCAATGACTTTTTAAGTTCAATTATGATTTTCTGTGTTAAAATATCAGTTACTATTTTGGTTAGAAAAATACATGCAATCTCTCTTTTTAAGTTCAATTTAAGTGCCTTTTTTCCCATACGACAGGCCTGTATCTTAAATTGTGTGTGTCTTTCTTTTTTTTTTTTTTCTAATTTTTTCAGGGCATTTTCTTGAGTTCTTTGGAATATTCAATGTAATTGAACCACATGGTTTTTGTTTAAATTTCTTTGAATCTTGAAAATTAATTAAAATCTATAAGCCGATGATATGTTTTGACATTTTTCTAAAAATCTTAGGATGCTTTCATTTTTTTTTTCTTTTTATATAAAAGTATAGTCGTTATGGCTCTCTTTTTCTATTTATTTTATTTCTAAAAGTGATGGATTTTTTCTTTTCTTTTTCTTTCTTTATTTGGCTAATCTAATTTAATTTAATTTTAGAAAAAAAAGATTAATTTAAATTCGGTATCGTTATATTTGATTCAAATTTAGATCTCACCTTAACTCAATTTCGCTTTTTGAAAATTGTTTCTCGACGTATTTTAAATTTTGAAATCCAAAATCTAAGATTTCACAACTAATTCTATATTTTTAATTTTTAATTTTTGTTATTTGCCCCTTTTTATTTTATATTCAATTTTAAAATTTATTAATGAAAAAAATAAAATTGAGTAAAACAAAATATTCTATAGATACCAAAAAGTGAAAATAAATAAATAAACGAGACACCAACATGAAGATGGGAACCCAACATGTTACAATTCATAAATGAAAAAAAAAATATCTTCATAGATATTTAGATCCAAAGATTATCAAACTATTGTGGGAATTTGATATCTAATTTGGAACTAAAAGACAAATTATTTGTCCTCCACTTATTCTCCCAATCACACTTCATATTTTTTATTTTCTAACCAAAAAATAAAATAAAACCGAATAAACTCTATTTTTTTTTGGGCATGATTAGATCGATCAACTTACACATCTTCTCAATTAACTTCACGAGTTTTTCTATGATATGGTCAATTAGATATATTGATTTTCCTTCAGGAATTTTTTATTCAAACATATATAGCTCAACTAATTACGACAAATAAAAAAAATCTAATATAGATATTGAGCTAAAAAAACTGTTAATTCAAATAAGAAATAAGAAATCTTTTGATGCATTATATTTGAAAGGCTTTTTCACATAAATTTAGGAAATAGGTTAATTCATAGTATATAGATTATGAGGACAATTATAAGCCATTTAAGTAAAATTAAAAGCCGTGAAGACGATGCCGACAATGTCGTATCCTTCAGACAATCGGGAGATAGCATGGCCTATTACATTCGTGACTAGAGCTTATCGAAAAGAAAGAATTTTTTTTTTACTTAATATCACTTTTTTTAAGATTAAAAAAAAAGCCAATTATCCAGTCAATATAATATTGATTAAATGCTCGAGCACTCAGATACTTTCATGAGTCCGGATATAAAGTATCTTCCTCCTTTCCGTAACTAAAAATGAAATTAGATTCCCTATCTGTCTATTCAATCTAATTCAAGACCCAATCAGTAGACACTACATTAGTAGTCGAAGGGCTATCATATCAAGATTTAACGATTATTTTTCATTACTCTACTAAATTCTTGAAACCTAGACGCAAGGATTTATAGCATTTTAGAGAATCCMAACGATGCTTAGAATCAAGCAAATCTAAAGAGGCTTTTTCTTCTGCTTACTTCTGTTGGAAAAAAAAATCATAAAGTTATATCAGCAAAACAGAAGAAGGTATTTCGATTCTTTTGTTGATGAGGCGACACCTGGATTTGAACTGGGGACACGTTTTTCTTCCAATAATGTTGTGAAAAGATTCATAGGATACTGAATCTTAAACAAGTGGCCAAAACTTGGTTCAGAAAAATTTTCCCCTTCAAAAATATCTAGGAAAGTTCCAATTTCATTACAGTGGACTCTCAGTTTTTGTTTTTTGTTTGTATTCAAATTATAAAACCCCCAAAAATATAAAATAAAATTTTACAAATACACATGTAAGTTTTGTTTTTTTGGGTATAATCTTAGAAGAAATAAGAAAAAGAAAAAAAAAAGTTTATGATTTAAAATTTCAAGAATGTAATTATGAAATTTCACTCTGACAATAGACAAGTAAATTAGTCTCAATTGAATGAAATAGCGAGATAAAAGCACGTTTTACGATTTGATTTAAAAATTATCAGAGAGATATTATTGGCAAAACTATTGAAATAAGTAAAACAAAAGGAAAAAAAAATCATAGAAATTTGATGATATTTTGTTCAAAATATTTGAAATGTTTCTCATTCTTTTAAAAAAATATTTTCTTTGTTAACATTGATTGGTTGGATGAAAAATTTACGGGTTGAATTATCTATTTTATGTTTTTTTCTTTCTTTCTTTGAGCAGAGTTATATATTATATGTTAAAATTTAGGAGATTATGTAGCAAATAAGACGTAGATTAAATCTCCAAAAATGAGGTGTTTGATGTCTATATATAATCTCTTATTCATATTTTTCTATTAACACTAACTTAATAGTAGAGACAACAATAGACATTTTTAAATGTTTGATGACTAAAATGAAAAATTAAAAAAAAAATAGAGGGACTATTATAATCGCCAACCTTGAACGTAATTCAACAGTAATTAGTATATATCACTCTTCAGAAAATTATGGTATCGAATCTCTAATATTAAAAAAATGTTATTTTAATCTTAAAATATCAATAACTCTCTTTACCCAAAAAAGATTCGCTAAGATTTATTATTTTAGAATATTACTTTATCGAGAGATACCATATTAATTTAACTTAGTTTTTTTTCTTTTTTACTTCTTAATTTAACTTAGTTTACTTCTTAAATTCAATAATTCAAGGAACGAAATAAATAATTCTGACCAAATGCAACAGTGACATTTTCAATTAATTATTTTTTTTTTCTAATTTTTAAAGAGGAAATTGAAAACAATGCTCCTACGCTCGCATCCCACGTGCCAGTTAAGGCCAAGGAGCTTTCGTTCATGTGTGGAATGGAAACGGTAAAGAGACCAATTTTAGCTGAGAAAAAAATATTGAATAAGTCTTTGAAATATTGATTGTGGAATTAATCCAATTCCACGATCCAACCCACCCATCAACTAAAATGTAAATACATTGATAAAATAATATTTTAAGATACGTTTGCTTTATACCAACAAATTTTAGTTATTTCTTTAACAAACTGATTTAGCTGGATAATCTTAAAATATTGTGTAGAATCAAAACTAAAAATCACCTAAAAAAAGATTAGAGACTATTAATTATATTTAGTTGTGTTGATTATGAAATCAAGTCTCTACTTATGTGGCAGAAGAACGACGATGTGTGCAATGTATCGAAAGAATAATACGTAACTTGAAAGACTGAGCTACGTAACTTGAAAGACTGAGCTAATACTAGTATGATGTTCTCCTTGACATACTCCAAAACTTAATTTAGATGAGTTAGAATGAAATTTACGAATTTATGCAAAAGATTACATACCTTTTAGATGTGTTTTCATTCCTCTTTCATCGAAGAGTTGTTTGGGAAGTTGTATCTCGAAAGATTCGAGCTGTATAACTTGTCACAAAATTTTGCACCTGCTTCCAAGATTTGCTGACACCAGAGACGAGGGACATTCGTTGTAGAGTCACTCTAGCTATCACGAACGATATGGGATCTTCTTACAATAACTAATTCGAGATATCAAGGATGATCTAAGACTTTCTTACAAGGATCCACAGACATCTCCTCTTGGAGCTCGAATTGGACTGACTCAACATGTTAGTAGAGAATTTACCCAGGTGTGCCGGTAATTTTTAACCCACGTGGTAAATTAATTCCATTTGGATTGGGTTGCTCAAATTTTTTTGGATAATCAAAGTTTTCTTAACAGTTTTTTTTATCAAGAACTATATCCAGTCTGTACTAATCTAACATCCTTTATCAAATGAGAATTAGCCACGTCCTCTTCGTCTCCCTCTTTCCTTTACAGATAAATTTCACCAATAAATGCCTCCTCCCCCCACTCCCCACCACCACACCGGAAAAATAAATTCGCAGACAACGAACGGTGAGGCCGGAGAAATCTCATGTCGATGAAGATCACGATGACCTCCGGCGGAATGCCCTCCATACCTTCATCGATTTCGCCGCCGCCTGTTACTCTGCCGGTGAGAAACGTCCCCGGCGGTTACGGCTTGCCGCTGTTCGGATCTGTCGGTGACCGATTGGATTACTTCTGGTTCCAAGGGCCGGATAAGTTCTTCAGGAATCGAATGGAGAAGCACAGAAGCACGGTGTTCCGGACCAACGTTCCTCCGTCGTTCCCTTTCTTCTTCAGCGACCCGAAGGTGATCGCGGTTCTCGATTGCAAGTCGTTCGCGCACCTCTTCGACATGGAAATCGTCGAGAAGAAGAACGTTCTCGTCGGCGATTTCATGCCGAGCACCAGCTTCACCGGCGGCATCAGAGTCTGCGCCTATTTGGATACATCGGAGCCGCAACACTCCAAGGTACGATCCCGATCCCCGATTTTCCACTTCGTAAACCTAATTAGGTCTTCGATTCACATTTTCTATTTGGTAGTCCTTCATCGGAAACCCCCAATTTCGTCTCCGATCCGCACCAAGCCCTACAACACCTCACTGTTCTAATTCAATTTTGTTTTTCCAGAAAAAAAAAATTAATCCAATTCTAAATGATTTCTTTTCCTATTATTAGGGATATTAAGATTAACTGATTTTCGACTTTATTCATTAACCCTTTTCTAAAAAGCGTCATTGTCTTAGAGCATCTGATATTGATCTGATTTCTTTTTAATTTTAGTAATTTTTTTTTCCTGTTCGAGTAGTAATTCAACCTTTTTTTTTCCTTAATTTCTAATATAAAGATGTTGATAAAATAAGATATTTATTGATTGAGAGAGTAGAGTCATGAATTAAAGAGTTTGAAATATTGCATATTTATTTTTAAAATTGTGAGAAATTGAGAGGAGGCATTCTCTATTTCATGCATGTTTTTAAAGTTTGAGATTTAAGATGAAGATGTTGATTGGGGTGGGGAACACAGTTACAGCAATGCATTGTCCTTTATTGAAATAATTTAATTGATTGGAAATTACGTTTTCATCCTTTTGTTTGTTTTTTCAAATGAAAAATAAACATTTGAATTTTCAACCTTTCATTTATTTCCACTCCATCCTCTCCCTCCATTTGCTCATTGACTTCTCAATCACATCCTTTATTATTATTACATCCTTAATTTCCCTCTAACATACAGAATATTTCCAATTTTAGGAATTAAATTATCAATCTTATTCCTAAATCCTACCCCCACATTTGATTAAATTAATCAGATTGTTGTAATTATGTTAAAATACTAGTTTAGTTGCGGTACTCTCCACTTTAATTTATTTTAGTTCCTAATATTTTCAAAATGTTTATTTTGATCTTTAAAGGGATAATTCTTATTCCTTAATTTTAATTTTAATCTCATTTTTTCTATTATAATTTCAAAACGAGTTTATAATCGATATATTTTTTAAAATGCAGAATTTTCCTTATTCGTAAAATTTGTATTAAGATTTTGTAAATAAGGATTAAAATTATCATTTTTAAAAATACAAGATAAAGATGAATATTTTTAAAATACAAAAAATCTAGAATGATCCAAAATTAAAGTATAGGAAGAAAAAATATTTTGAAACTAGAGAAGCTAAAATAGACGGACTGAAAATCCAGATACTAAAATAATAACTTTCTAATTATTATTTTTTGAATTAATTTCTCATCACCAGAAATTTACTGCCAGGTAAAAAACTTCGTTCTAGACGTTCTCCGGCGGAGCTCCAAGATATGGATCCCGGAGCTGGAATCCAAGTTCTCCACGGCGTTTGACGCCATTGAATCCGACGTTATCAAGAGCGGAAAATCCGACTATCTATTCAATCTCCAGCAAGCCCTATTCAGTTTCTTCGCCAAAACCCTAGCCGGCGCCGACACTGCAAAATCCCCCGACATCGCCAATTCCGGCTATTTCGACGTCAACCTCTGGCTCGGCCTCCAGCTCCTTCCCACCATTAACATCGGCATTCTCCAGCCCCTCGAAGAAATCTTCCTCCACTCCTTCTCCTACCCATTCTTCCTC